TACCTGCTAGAAAGGCCTTTCATTTAAACGTGGGCTTGCAGAACTGGCTGAAATATTTCTCCCAGATTCAGACCCACACAGAAGGACCATTGTCTTTCGCCCAGTGCCTCGGTATGATGTCATAACCCTGCTCTCTCTGAGTAGGAAGCTTTGATTTATAGCCAGGGCTGCTGCCAACGCACAGTTCTCAGAACTTCGTATTAAATTAGATGACATAATGACGTGAGTCCAGAGTCTTAAGAAGGCCTCGTCGAACCATTGAAAACCAATTAGCACAGATTAAGTTGCTTATCAGACTAATTTAGAACTGTGAGCTCTGTCAAATTTTAATATTAAAAATAGAGGACTATTTAAAATTGTCTGTTGGCCAACCTAATGCATTGTGAAGTAACAAGCGTTTAAAAATTCACCATATGAACTAAACTTGCATTTATTTTTTCCTTTTTATGGCACGGGCCTGATCCTTCAGCAGGGTAGGGTCTCTTAAACACGTAGCATTACTTTTGAGTCTGAGCGCGTGTAAAACTGCATCATCTTTTCTGTTTACAATTTCACAAATTCTGGCTTCGTTGCTGCAATTTATTACTGGCAAATCTCAGTGTATGGCAAATTCAGTCACAATTTTTCATTCTAGCCAGCTGAGAGTCTGCAAGACTGGGTGTTATCTCAGCACCACGGAGCAGCTTTGAGACAGAATGCTTGTTGCCATTTGATATGGCTCTGCTGAATTTAAGAAATAGTCCGGTTTCTGCTAAAATTCTGAACAGCTGTAGGGCTTTCCAGTTAACTGCTGTGTGGCTAGGAGCGTCTCTTTCAGCTGGCAGGTTTTTACCAAGTCATTTAAGATTTGAAATATTTGAGCTACAAGTTAGTCAAGCTAATACTGTTCTCTGTTAAATATTAATCCTGTGAAAATTAACTGTACTCTCTGTACCACGTCTCATCTTCCTGTGTGAAATAGTCACTTGTGCAAGTGAGTGATGGTGGAAATGCCAATGTGTCATGACAGCTAGCTTACCGTGCCTCCACAGGGATGTATTTGAGAATGAAACCCCTTTTTTCTAGCTCGGGTCTGTTAAGATTTGCAGTTAATCAAGCATGAGTCACTAGGTAAGTGGTAACGCTAGTCCCTGGCTGGCTGGTGATCAGCCCTGGCCGCTCTGGAGGAACCCACTGGGGTCCTGCCTGGGAGAAGATGGTGAAGGTGGGCACGGAAGGTTTGTGTCCTCGGCTGCTCTTAAGAAGTCACCTGGAGCTGCTCGCCCCAGCTGAGGGTCTCAGCTCCCCAAAAGCCAGTAAGGCAGTGGGAAGCATGTGTTAGGAACTGGTAGCCTTATTGCGTGCAGGTATTTTAACTCGTTTGAGTAACGCCGTAGGCACCATGATGGTGAGCGGGTAGCCGGTGAGGACAGGTAATTGGTTTTGGAAGGTGTGCCTTGAAAGACCCCCAGCTCCTGCCTTGGGCCCTCCACAGCCTTTTGCAAAGTGGCAGTAAAGGGTTGCCCTTTTAAAAAAGGAATATAAGGGGATTTACACCAACTTTTGACACAATCAACGTATTTTCAGAACGATCAGGTCAGACCCATAGCTCATTTCAGTTGAGTTTGGAAATACAAACATCGGCAAAGATTTTTGGCCTATGTTACTCCATTTGGTGAAGTTATGTAGGCTGGGGAGAAGCAGATACAGGATAGAGTGTCATAAACAAACTGTTAACTGATGTAATGTAGCAATTTGTGGTATATCTATACTCCACAAGTCAAGTAATATTGTTATTCATGCGAAATACAAAAGTTGAGGTCTAGCCAGAAGGGGAAGTGTTAATGTCTTAAGTTTCTGCTGACATGCTCAGCTTTGCAGGTCTGATTCCAGATCATCTGGGTCATTAGTAATGGTTTCTCCAGGGGAAAAAAAAAAGAAAAAAAATCCTACAGAGCTTCCTCGTCCAAAGTGGTACCCTGTAAAGACATTTACACTTTTTTAAAGGGGAGAGAGTGGCTGCCATCCCAGCTTGGTAAGATCAGTACGTTCACTCTGCACGGTGTTAAATGTCTATACAAATGGCAAAGCACTGAAAAGTCAGATACAAATCCCTTCATCATTTCAGCATTAGTACTTTTTCTGTCTTTCAGTGTGATACCTATTCTAGTGATGAGATTAGCATACAAACAAAATATATGATACTTAGCAAGGGGAGACTTTTTTACTGTGTTGAAAGAACACATTAAAAAAGGTCATGGAGACAATTCACTTGAACAAGTTCTGACACCCCTAAGCCTAGGTGCAGGTAGTATCTGTGCATTTAAAGACAATTTGTTTCCCATTACATGAAATAACAGATGCTCAGGAGTATCGGTTCAAATCAGCACAAGGGGACAATGTAAACAGATGTCAAATAAAATGGAGGTCCCACTTAACTTCATATCCATCCTTCTTGTTTCCCTGTCTGGCTACCAACCTGCCATCAGCAAACAAGCTACCGTGACGTACCCTGACTGGTCCTGTAATTAACACCAGTCTCTATTTTCCCTCTGAACTCTGAATTTCTGGGCAGCCAGGAGCGTCCTTGGTGGCTGTCACCATCTCCAAGAGAGTTTTTGGACTAACAGGTCTGGAATAGAGTCCCTTCCACCCATCAGTCCTTCGCCCAGTGCAGAGTAGGACTTACTGGTTATCCTCTGTTGGTTGTGGCAGGTGTATCTCAGTGTAGCAACATGTGAGAAACCAGATTCCCAATGTTCATGGCTCCTAATCAGACCTGCAAATAGACCCCCCTGGCATTGCTTTTATAAAGAAAAAATTCAAAGTGAAGTGACAAAAAAGTGCCTGGTAAACCAAGTAGCAAAGATGTGCCATAGAAGAGCTACAATGAAAAACCAGCCTGAGTGCAGGAACCTGCCGCCTTTAAAGTCTCCAGCCTGCCTGCCACCAGGGCTATAACCTTTCCCTAGGTTGTAACAAGTCAGACAACTCCAAGGTTTATTGGAGTTGAATTGCAAGTGGTTGAGGTTGGAATTATTTAGCACAGGTGTTTCTATAACAGTGATATATTGGGAAAATTCAGTGTTCAACAACCATCATATTTCCAGCTGTGCTGTGGTTAGTGCTAGTACAGTGAACCTAATATAAAACATGTGAGAATATTTGCTAGCTCAGGAACTTGTTAAAGGTATTTTCTTACAATATCTGAGCTGCTATGTTTATCTAGGTGCGTTTCTTTGGTCTTGCATTTTCATAAAGGGTGTGATATTGGTTTTATAAAGCTGTCACTGAACCTGGAATCTGCTTCTCTGCAACCAAGTGCATTAGTAGCCCTGCTAGCCAGTGTGCAGCACACGAGCAGGTGAAAATAAGATTATGAGGAATCCAATGACAGTCCATTATCCTTAGCACATTCGTCTTGAGCAGCACCTGTGCATCTGTTACATATATAGGCATGTTTTTACTAGGGGTGCTAGAAATCTTGAAACAAGTGTTGCAAGCATCTATATGTAAAAGAACATAAAAGGAGCAAAGTTAACAAGAGGCTAGGGGACTGTAAAACAAGGGTAGTGAAGTGCATTCACCAGCAGCGAAATTTGTGAGTGTTAAAAGAGATTTTATATGTACACATGCACACACGTGCATTTTTAGGGGTTCAAAAGACTCATACACGAACATAGTAAACGGCTGGAGAATGTGTAAGGGTGTTTGTAAAACACATGCAAATAAAAATACAGAGACACTCACACAACATGCATGTGCTCTGAGCTGAGTTGTGCAAAGATGTTTTATTAATAACTTAGTGCCACAGTGGGTCAGTTATTCTAATATTCTGAAAGATACTCTCTGGTGTCACTGTAAATTTCCAACAGCACCTTTAAGCAACGGCTGCTCCTGTGGATTTCTTTTTGGGAAAGAAGATAAATGCCACTCTGCATCTATACTCAATTGTTGTATGCATTAGAGTTGCATCTGGCTAGAAAAAATACATCTGCAGACTAGCTTGGCCCTATTATTTATAATTTTCCTGAAGGAGAAAGTGGGTGTCTTTTACCTATGCACTGCATATGTTGTAGGAGAAGCAGCAAAGGCACCTCTCTCTGATTTGAGAGGGAAAGCTGATGTGAAAAAGGCACTGTGATTTGAGGAAGGATCTCTTCTCTGATTTGAGAAAGCAGCTCCACATTTGTCATGACTGAGTTGATGCTCATAGACAGTCATTCTGTCCACGTGCTGGTGGGATTTGGAGACACGGCTTGACAGCTCAATTAGACCTTCTTTCGGGACAATGGGTAGAGCAAGCAGAGGTCTAGAATGGGAGTCAGTTTTTCTTGGTAGCCAGAGGCTGAGTTAACATTTGTTCGGAGCTGGCGTTAGCAGTTTGGATCCAACTTAGAATCACCGAGAGTTGGATGCAGCTTATTGAATATTTTACACCCATTGGCTGATTAGTAAGATTAAACACAATAATGTAAAAACTAAATAAATCAAATCCTACTCTTTCAAAAATACCCTTGTAATTGAAAACTTCTTGTACATAGTAGTTTGTCATGTATCTTTGCAATTTTACTTTCACTGAACTCTGAGAGCCCCATCTCCACCTTATTATGCTCCAGTTTACCGAATGTGCAGACATTTATCAAATGGGCCATCGGTAGCCGTAGAAATGCAGTAGTATATCCAAGTTAAAATTCTTGCTTTGATTACTACAAATCCATGGAGCCCTTGGGTCCAAAGCTTCCACTGAAACACAGCTATTTGCAAATAGATTTTTATAGCACATTAGTGCTGGAGGAGAGTCCAAAGAAAATAGTCCTTTTCAATATTAGAACCAGCTGTGACTTTCTTGTGCTGATGACTCATTCATTTTTTTTTTATAGGGTGGGAGAACTAGGCAAAAGACACACAGAGTCTTATTCAAGCCGTTGTTTGTTTTGCAAAGGGTATCCTAGCCACAAGCCAACTTGATCATACCAATACGCAACTCATGTTTATTTAAAACTTTTTTCTTTTAACAGTTCCAATTATAAAAACAGAACCCACAGATGACTATGAGCCTGCTCAAACCTGTGGACCAATGAACCAAGGCTTAAGCCCTCTCTCTAAACCGTACTACAGCCAGCAGATCATGATGCCCCCTGATCCTGGTTCGTGCCTCGTGGCTGGCTTTGCCTCCTGTCAGCAGAGAAACGCCGTGATGTCACCCTCTCCCAACGCAAGCCCCAAGCTGCACGACCTTTCGTCCTCTCCTTACAAGTGCATCCCCAACCCAGGCCACAGTCACCTCGGACTTCAGCAGCCCGCTGGAGGTGTCCCCACCATACAAGAAGTGCCAAGGTCTATAGTTGTGCACCCAAGCTCCCCCGAGCAATCATCTCACATCATGCTGCAGCCGCAGGTGAGTCAACATCTGAGCAGTAGCTGTCCCCTTGGTTATCAACAAACACTCTATCCCAACAGTCCCTCTTCTCCAGTTCCATCTGTTACCCAAGAGCCAACCTATTTGCAGTCCTGCAGTCCAACTCACTCATCCATAATGGGTCAACAGCAGCAGCAACTGCCGAAGGTTCACAGAAATGAGTCTCCAACAACCCAACCACTGTCATTGCCAGAGTTGCATGAGGAAAGTAATCATAATTTGGCCCCTATTCCTGTAACGATCAAGCGAGAACCTGAGGAATTGGACCAGATGTACCTGGATGATGGTAAGTCTTCCGCAGCGTAGGTTTGCGTTCAACCATGTTGCTATATCAGTGAGTTCCCTTAACCCTCTCCTCCTTTTGAATCCTGGTGGAAAGAAGTTCAATTAACAGCCTGGTGGAATGGTGCGGACTGTTGCTTGGATTGTCTCTATACAGGAAAGGGCTCTTTAATTTCGTTTGCAATAATGAAACCGTATTACCTAAGCGTTAAATGCTGATAGTTACCGTAGAGCTAGCTGCATGACCGATAGCTATGTTGCAATAATCTTAACCGTATGGTCTTGGCTTATGCCCATGCCAGTGACCTGTGGAACTGCAGTGAAAACATATTTAACATTGCCCCATCCATAATGCAGTGAAGCGTCTGATGTGCAAATCTCTTCACTGGAACTAAATGATAAACTGCTCTACTTCAGTTGAGAAGGTTCGAATTAAAAATGGAGGCACATCTTTCAGCGTAACTTTTCAGTCTGGTGGCATCTGACATTAAAACTAATTTTTCTTCCTTTCTTATTGCGGACTTGCTGCCGGTTTGGGTTTGGGTTTTTTTTTGCTTTTGTAAGATTCTATATGTATATGTATTCTACACGCACCACTGAAAAGTTAAAATGCTGTGATGAACTTGTCAGACTCTAGTTTCCAAAGATTTATTAGTTGAATGTAATAAAAGGGATAATCTGGAATTTGATTATGTGACCTCACTGAACTGTGATTTAGCACTGGCTGCTAAGTATCCCAGTAGTATTCTGGACCCTCACCTTAATGCAGTACGTGAGTTCCTTTCCAATAGCCACATAACTTTATATAACATACCATGCTATTTGAAGAAGAAATGCCTTTGAAATGGCTGCATTGAAACTAATTGGTGCCAAGGAACATCTGAATGTGATTGTCTTTCAGGGAGAATTTAAAGACAATTCACTGCACTGTTTTTAAAAAAAGGACATTTAGTCATTCTATTTTAAACAGCATGATACTCACTGAATTAGGATTACAAATGAATGTTTTGGAGCTTGAGTAGCAGCCTTTTGCTTTTCAACCCCAGGAAAATGATTTTTCTTAACAGAAGTTATTATTGGTTACATGATAGACAGGTCTAAGGAATTTTTCCTAATTAGTTCAGTTCACTAAAGTTTTGCACAACACATCTTTTGTGACAAGGTTTTCTTCATATAGCGTGCATTTTTACCACATATCTATGCTGTAAGGAGCAAAATTTCAACAAACCAACCCAGAAGCATACACAAACCAAAACAAAAAGCCATGCCCAAATTTGGGTTTTGAGAGAAGCCAGAAGTTATCTACAGAAGGAGGAGAATACAGATAAAATCTAAACCTAGTCTATAGCTGTCTTACTAGAAAAGCATGAGAGCCGGGCAATCTTTCTGCCTTACCTCTCCAAAATCCAGCAACGACTTCTCTGACAGCACTTTGAAAGCTGCCTTTGGCTGGTCTCTGCTGGAGAGATGGGACTGTGGCTCAGGGGTGAAGGGTGAAGCTCCTCAGCCATATCTACTTCAGGTTTCTCCTGGAGGAACAGAGGAACCATGTGGTCTGAGAGAGAGATTTTAGTTTTTTCAGCAATGCTCATTCTCCCTGACAAAGCATTAGTGGTTTAGTCTTTACCCCTGTCTCTCTTCCGTCCCCTGTTCTGGACACAGACACACACCAGTCCTCTAACAGATAATCAGAAGTAATTGTAGAAGCCACCATGTACATCTGCACTGATACTTAAAGTTGACTTTGAAGATCTCTTCAGCCAGCCAGATCCAGATATACTTCCCTTTGGCATCCAGCAGGCTATCAGAATCCTTCTGTGGCTGACCACAAGAACTATAGACCAAGAAAGAATTCATAGACGTAACAGTCATGGTAACAATATATAATTGTAAAAAAATTACCTTACGCAGTTCCAAAAAATTAACCACCACCAGTTCCCTCTAAGGGTGGTAATCAGAAATGGTAACCAGAAGAAGTCCCTTTTCTGTGTCTACACTGATACTTAGGTTTGTCTCAGGGGTCACGCTGATGGAGCATAACCCACGTGAGCTGCCCTTTCCTATCTCTGCCTTATCTCACTGCCTGAAGAAAAGGTCATCCACTCTATGTTCTGTGCTGACAAAATGAAGCCCCTGTAGAAATCAGGAGTGGACTACTACTGTCTTCTTATATGTCTCAGTATTTGGGCAGTCGAGAGAGTGTGCAGCAGAAGGGCTCAAGAAAGCACGTCTTGTGGGACGGGTGCTGGCCAAGACCCTCTGTTCAAACCGTTCAACCGGCGTGCCTCAAAACACACAGCACAGGAGCACGAAGCTGTGAGTCAGGCTGGAAGCCTCTTTAGGTCTCTGCTATATGCATTTCGTGGAGGCAACCTTACCACCACCGGTGCAGAGACTGGTTTCACATGACATTTAATCTGATGTAACTGCAGGCTCCCATGGAAAGGGTGGCCTTGATCCGTCTTGCCCTTAGCCACATGCTCTTGCTGCTTCCTTTGAGTCATATCGATTGATTATGGAGCGGCAGAGCAGGCTAATGGAAAAATAACCTGCCAAAAATAGCAAAACCCACGTAGTTTTCCACTGGGACAGCTCACAGAACCACATCCCCCAGGTCCAGTAGCCGGGTCCAGCCCACAAGAGGGGCAGGAATCCTGTTGCTGTGGGTCAGGGAGTGCAGCGGGATCGCTCTGGGTGGCAGCAGCCCACCCATAGGACAGAGTAAGTGGGACTTGAAGCCACATCTGATGTCATCTTATCCTCCCCAGCAACTATCTAATCAACTCGTCCTGTCTCAGTAAAAAAAATCCCCTGCTTGTGCTCACCTATTAGTTACGGAAGGATGACATCTGGGCTGCCTTGCACAGTCTCAAAGGGCAGTTTGGCCACTGCGGTGACTGCCTGGAAACCACCAGTAATTGCTCCTGGTGTCCCAGTAGGTGCTCTTCACCGAGATCGGCACCGAAAAGGCAAAGCGCTCCACGTAGGCAATGCCTTTGTGCCTGGTGCCGATTCATTCAGACCTCTGGCCATAACTGTGGAATAAGGGAGAATGGGGTTTGCAGAGTGGCTCCTGCCGAACAGGAGCAACTCATTTTTCACGTGCTTGAATTTTTTTGTGGAATAGGAGCTTTTAAGCCATCACCATTGTTTCTTGATAGTATCATATCCATCTTTAAGTGTTTTCCTTGTTGTGGGTGGGAGAGCTGTGCTTTATGACCATATTCTGAAAACCAGAATATCAAATCATACCTGTGAGTAAGGACAGTTACTCTTTTTTTTTAAATAGATTGCTGCTCTACCTCTTTATAATTTGTTGTCTCACTGATTCAGTTCAGATCCCTTCATGCAGCATAATTTACACTTTTTTTTCAGTATTTTTTCAACCTTCGCACCTGTGAAAAATATGAAAGCCAGAGAGAGGTCAGATGTACTTGACTGCTTTCCTTGCCTGCTACTCTTCAGTATACCAACTCTATCCCTCATCCCTGAAGTAATTTAGAAGTAATGAAATATTTTAATGACATTAAAAATTAAATTCTCAAAGCATCACTCCATTAAAAAAGTGTATCTTCACAGTGTCTTGTAGCTATTTAATACCTCCAGTTTTACCTGAAAGTACTTATGAAGTGTGAGGTGTAGACATCTAACATACTTACGGGACTACCAGACAAATAAAGTATCTAACTGGTTATGCCAGGTTATATTTCATAAAATTTTGGTTGCTTGTTTACCACTTTGGGGAGGTTTGATTTATGTATCTAATATACGTATAGCAATCTTGGACCAGCTATAAACAGAAATTTTTTGGTTTCAGCTTCAGGGATCAAAGCAATATTCATTCCTTTTGGTCTGGAGTATCTCCAAATATAGACCATCTATACTGCAGAATATAGATGGAAAAAAACAGTCAGTGAGTTTATATAAATATATATCCTGTATATGACATTTTTCTGCTTCGGTAATGGTGGGCAGCTGAAGTGATATAAAGGGAGCACCTGAAGAGACTTCCATTTTGGCAAATAAGTTTTGGTCTTGGCAATCTTGTTTTAAATCAAAATCTACAGTAGCCACCTGGGCTACTCATTAAACGTGCTGTCCATTTCAGTATGTGAATATATGATTCAACATGTAGAACGTATTTAAAACTCGCCCTGTAAAGTGATACCTGATACATTATGGCTATGCTCTTGATATTGAAAGGTATCTGGCTTGTATACCAGCACTCGTTTCAAGTAATTCTGAGTTTAGCCTCCTAACAAAGATTATGGCTGACTCCCTTTGCTGCTTTCACAGCAAGATTTGATGAAAAGCGGTTGAACTGTGACATTTATGGCTGGCTTTTGTCCTCTGCGGGAGCCCGTGGTCCTTGGCAGCGGGAGAGGGGTTGTCTCCTGTCCTCCCCACCAGAAGCTCTTGCAGCAACCTGGAGGGTGCTGGGGCACCCTGGCAGACCACACCAGGGCTAACGCTGCTTCCACCCGCTTGTGTCTGCCCGGGACAGCCCAGGTGACGTGACATTCCCCTTCCACATCTGACGTGGGAGCAGTTTGGGGTGCTGGGGTGGTGGAGCTCGTGGAACGTCCTTAGACAGGCAGGCTTGAGGGACCTCTTCAGTACGAGTCCATGCAGTAATTGATTTTAAGAGAAAACATTTTATTCGGGGATAGATGAGTCTAATGGGCTGTACGGCCCTT